ACTGCCAGAAATCGTATCTGTTGTTGTGCTCCCTGGAGGGTTTTCACATCACCCAGCAAACCCCTGACCACATGGATGTGCCTGCTCAGAGCAGGCAGCCTGGGCAAAGAGCAGATCGGGCAAGACAGCAGGAAAGGGAGAGCTGGTGCTGATGTGTTTGAAAAGTGACTGTCACCAGCTGGAGCCTTTCTGATCCTGGCAATGTGCATTCCTGGAAAGCAACTGAAGGGGATCCTGACTGCTGCCACCAAGAGCCAGCTGCCTTTAAACTTTGCCCTAAACTTTCTCCTTGAATGAACTCCGTGTCTGTGTCATGTTTAACTGGCAGGGTGGACTGACTGGCTGAAATTGTAAGTGGTTTGAGATGCCAATGACAGCTTTAAAAAATGGAAAAAAAAAAAAAAGGAAGAAGAAAAAAGCTTTTTTGGTTGTTCTGGTACTCTCAATATTCACTTCTGCTTCACTGTGGCTGATAGGTCTTGTTTGTGGGCTGCTCTCCTTCCTTTGAGGGTGAAGAAGGGAGAGATGTTCACTGCAGGGGTAGGTAAACTGGCCATATTTTGTTGAGGTGCTGGTCACAAGGATTTACTAGAGAAGAAATCTTCAAAGTCTTGGGACAGCAAATGATGACCTTAATTTGAATTAGTATCTGTTCTGTGTGCAACACTGTGCACTGTGTCTTGGACTGAGACAGCCTCCCTGCAGGAGGCAGAGCTCTGCATCTGACAGCGGGCACTTTGCACTTGGAAGGCTTGGAACTTGGAAATGCTCCTATTTCCTGGGAATTCAGGGACTTGGGTTTGGGAGTTTGCCTCTCTAAAGACCCGGGAATAGAAGCCTGTAACTCTGCTGCTTGGTTCTAGTCCCTTATCTCTGGTGTCCCTGAGTTCTGCAGAGCCTGACCGTGTATCCAGACCTGTTCAGGCTGCAGCAACTCCAAGGTTACACACAGTGGTTTCTTTCACATGTGTGGATACCTTGATCTCTTCTCTACAGTGGCAGGTTTGAAAGACCACTCTAACCCCTCTTTCTCCTTGTCAGGTTTGAAAGACCACTCTAACCCCTCTTTCTCCTTGTCAGCCTTTCAAGGGAAACTCTTGGTTTCCCCACATAACTCAGCTTTCTGTGTCAATACTGCACAGTAGGATAATGGGTGTAAATAAGATGGTGAGCATAGGAGCTGTTTCTGTAGTGTGTCCTTAAGAATCAGCAGACCTACTGATACCTCAAGTACCATTAATTCTTGATTGGGGCATGCTGAGCTTGTCAGAGGAGCCATCTGCCACCTCATTCTGTGTGTATTTATTTATTTATTAGTAAGGTGAATCCCAGCACCTCACATGGAAGAACTGTAAGGGGAGTGATGTTTTTTATTCAGCTTCCTGCAGATGATATTACAAAAAAGGGTGGTTTAACTTCTCTTGTTGACTATTTCTCCTGATACTCTGCATCATGTTGTATTCCCCTTTATATTGTGTTCACTGACTGGTTTTTGACTAATATGTCTTGATATTTGCTACTCAAAGTGACATACATAGAAGCTGTCATCACCAGCTGTGCAGAAGACATCTGAGAAAACCAACACTAAGTACTAAGAAGGAAATGAAAATGTCTTTTCTGCCCTGCTAAATTTTGACTTTTGGTTCTGGTTTTTTTTGCCATCTTTCTCTCTTGGCTCAACATGCTTGGCTACTCTGAAAGAGAAACACTTTGCTGGCTGCCTCTTGCATGATCTCCAGGTGCAGGGGCCAATGCCCGGTTTCCTGCAATGCAGAAATAAGTCATCTGATTACATTTCTGATGCCTTTTTGAAACCTGTGATCTTCAGGCTCTCCTCATATTTAAGGTATCACATAGGTTACTTCCGTGTCTGAATGGTTTAGATTGGAAAATAAATGTTCAGCCCTGATCATGAATAATTTACTGTTCTCTTAAGAGGGGAGAATAGGAAGTTAGCTATTACCATAAAAAATTTTTACTGCAATTTTCCTCTGCATAAGCTTAAATTCTGTGTAGAGAGGTTGTCAATTAGTGTGCAGATTTTTTTAATTGGCTATAATAAAAAGCTAATTGGTGTTTTGCTTAAAGAGTGAATTAAGAAAGTGTTGCTATAGAAACTTTACATGTGTATAGTGCTGCTCTACATAACAGTAGATATAATAGTCTAATGACCTTTCTGAGCCAGCTGTAAAGTCAAAGAAAATGTGTTAAATTCAGGCTGGCTGCAGAGATCATTAAGGGGTTTGTGACTTCACTCATTTCATTGCCAGAAAGTGTCTCTGGCATTGTCTCATAGAATGTTTCTTTGACTCATGTCAAGCCATATAACAAATGCTGGTCACAAAAGACCTGAACTTTTGTAAAATCCAAGTGCTCCAATTGTGAATGTGTAAACTGATCTGTAATCTGTCAAGCATAAAATGTACTACTGGGAAAAATTCATTTTCATAATCTGAGAAAATGTGATGATGGATCGAAAGTGGCAACATCTAATCCTAGAGCTGTTCTATCCTTGTATCCCTCCTTCCTCTCCCTGCCCTCTCTACCCACTGAATTCTGAGCCTCATGTGAAACACAGGAATTGCAATTGTAAGTGAAATGGGATTTGTGCTCTAATTTTCATTATTCTCTCCTAGCAAGAAATACTTTCCTTCTGAAGTATAAACTTTGTTAAGGAGAGAACGATTTCTTCAGGATTTGTGTACAGGAATTTTTTTCCTCAGGCTTCCCTACTGAAATTACTTCAGAGTCGTTATCTGTACCTTTGCTAGCTGCATAAAAGTTATATATATGTGGCATGGATGAACATAGTCATTTCTGGCAAGGAAGGTGGTCACTAATGAAATAAATGGCTCTGGCTGGTAAAAGTGAAACATGACCTTTTACTTTCAGTTCCCTGATTCTTGTTGTGTTACTATGTCAACAAATTGTTTTGCTCCTTTTTAACTGTATATCTAGAAGTTGTAGGGGTGTGAGAGCCTGCAGTTATTAGTCATGGTGGCAGAAAAAACTTAAAATGTTCTGCATGTCCAAATGTGAGAGACAGGACAAAGCTATAATCTGTTGATATTTTTTGGAATTGTTCACTGTGGGTTTTTTTTCCCTCTGATTTTCAACTAAATATTTAAACAAAACAACTGCCATTCTGTGTCTGCTAAATTTGCCCCTGCACTTGTTCTTCAAACTGGTCAAGCACAACCATGTTAGAGTGATTAGTGTATGACTTTTTTTTGCCCCCTCACTTCTTTTCATTTCCAGTAGATGCCTTAAAAAAAATCATCTAAGTGGATGAATTTAGGAGAATCTCTCAGAATTCAGTGGAATTACACAGACAGCTTCTTTCTGTACCTCTGGGTCAGGACTGAGTAGTGTCATAACTTAGCAGCTATTCTTCCCTTGATACACATATGTAAGTCCTATTAGTGTTAATGCCTTTTTGAAATGCTTCCCTCATATATTCAATATCTACTACTGTGTCCAAACTCTGAAGTCTTATGAGTTGCATGGCATGTGACTGTCTCTAGAGCTTAATAGAAAGTTGGATTTAATCTCATCGTTCATCTTTTGAGCAGTAAAACTGTAAGAAAGATAAAATGTTGTAACGTGAAGCTTTTATCTGAGACCTGTGAGCAAATACCTTTTTTTTTCCCTGGTCCAGGGAAAAGACTGGGTTTTTTTGATTTTTTTTTCCAGCTTCCTTTTGTCTTGTCCAGTCAGACCATGAATGTAAGATGTACTTACAGGAGCTGTATAGTCTAGAGGTGTTGTTTTACAGAAGAGTAATACAATATTGTATTGTTAAGGAAATGTGATTTTTGGAACGCAATAAATCGATCCTTCAGTTAAAATTTTTTGCTGCTTTGCTGCAGTGCATTTTCAACTGCCTTTGTGAAGAGGGGACTGCGTTTTTGAGAGGCAAAACATGAATTTTCTTTAGGACTGGTATTTTTCTTGTAGTTTTACTTGGTTGTACAAAGCTTTGTGCATCCCAATCCAACATTACTATTCCTGCTTTAACTGTAAAATCAGTAAAATTTATATTAAAGCAAAGTGTCTGGGAGATGGAACTCCTGCTAGTTCAGTGTGTAATTTGTTTATTTGGATTAGTGCTGGTTGTGCTATGAAATGGAGTAATGGAGGAGCTGGGTGGGTTCTGCATTCTGCACATTGGAAAGAAATCACAGAATCAATGAGCTTGAAAAAGACCTCTGAGGTCCAACACCACTGAGTGAACCAAACCTTGGCACTGAGTGCCACAGTCTTTCCTTCAACACTCATGGTGCATTTATCTTTTTTATATTTTAAAAATTACTTCTTTACTGATATGGTTGTGCTTACAGAAAGTTACAACAAAAGTTGGTTGGTCCTTTTCCCTCTTTGTTTCATAATTTATGGAGTGCAGCCATGGAAGCTTGCTTATTAGTGGAGCAATCTGTGGACTCTTTATAACAGGCCTTGGTTATGACTGAACTTCAGTGATGTGCACAGAGGGTGTTTAAATGTGTACTGAGCTACCTTGTTCTGCTTAAGGAAGGAACACATTGACAACTGAATTCCATTAAAGAAGGAGGGAGATTTATATGGGTGATAATGAGGTTGCTACTGGAAAATAGGTGAAATATTGAAATGGTCATAATATCAGTGTTGTTTGTTTGTTGTAATAAGAACGCTTCCTATTTCCTGATGGATAGCAAAGGCAGTTGTTTGTTGTCCAGTATTTTGTGGTATAGTAGAAGTACCACCACAAATTCCCTGCTGAAGAGTCAGACCTTGCTCCAGATACAAGGACATTGATTTTAGCATTTTAGGCAGAGATTTTGTTTCTCTAAGTAAGAAAAAATATTTCCTAAGTACTATCATGCTTCAAAATATGTTCTACTTTGCTGTAGTGTCAGGAAAATGCATCTTCTATTTATATTTACAATTTGCATCATTGCAAATGATTAGTTTTCTGTTTCAATGAGTGGTATTATAAAATGTGGTGTATCCCTCTTTTGCAGAGAATTAGTGTAGAGGCCAGATTGAAAATATGCCTTCGTGACAAAGTCTCTACTAAGCTGATCCCATCTTGGCTTTAAGGTAAATGAAATAAACCTCTTCTTTTCTTCTCATCATGGTTGTTATTCAGCTTGGAAGAAGTGTGAGAATATCACGTACTCAGAATAAAAAAAGTATTTTAAGGAGTTAAGTTGCAAAACTTAAAATTTAGTAAAAATAAAGTGTAAGCATAAGCCAGTAATTTGAGTATGGCTTCAGTAATTAAACGAAATGACAGACAGTGGCATGAATGCTTATGTGTCTTACATACTGCCTTGGTAACTGTCTGGTTTTGTCTGCAAATTGAATATGCATATGAAGGAGAGATCATTCTAATTGAATGGAAAATATGAAATTAAAAAGGCAACAAAGTATAAATAATTGAAAATCAGGTTGCAGCTCTGAGCTTCTGTATGTTGGGAGCTCAGTTGCAAACAAAATTGGTAGAATGGTAATTCACATTTTTCTTGCTCCTAATTTTCCTTTCATGGTACCATACTCCTGGTATAGGGAGCAAGGCAGTGAAAATGATGAAGGGGTAATTAAATATCTGTAGGAAAGTAAGAGCCAAACCAGAGACTAATTTTCAGCACTCTACAGCTTTCATTATGTATGTATATGCTTTGATTTCTCATGTATATGGAAAATGTATCCTCTAATTGCATATTTTTAGCCTTTCTCCTCTAGAATTGTTTAACTTGCTGTGGCAAGTTTCCTTTGTTTGTGAAATCATTGCAGAAAAGTGTTATTTAAAAAACTTTATGAACAGTTAGATACCTTTGAGTTCAGCTAAGAATTCTTAATCTCAACTAAGTGTCCTTTATAATAATTTTAATGTTTAGCATGTCTTGTTCATTCATTGAAATCACTCAGAATGGGTAATTTTCAGTGTTTGGAACTTTTTGATTCTACATGCCCTGCTCTAGATGCCTGTGGATGAAGGCACCAGTGAGATTGCTGTACCCAAAAAGCTTTATTTTCAAGCAAAACTTGCCCGAAATTTAACCAATTCACATAGACATCATAGAAACCATGTGCCACTTCCTATCCCAGTATTGGGGTTGTGATACTGGCACAAGCCATAAACCCACGTCCCAGGAGCACAATAAATTGGAAATATTCTCTGTCAGAGTTTGTTCAGTTGTGTATTTGGTTTAAAGGCCCATGATTTGCACTTAAATTTCAGGTACCCCTAGAACCAAATCAGATTCAGTAGTTGTTGGTTATTTGATGGCAGCAAAAAGGTGATGCAAGAGTGGACTTATGCTGAAATTGCTGTGTCCTCCCCTCTGGGACACTTGGGCTGCTATGTGAGGAGCTGAGTGAGAGCTGCTCTGGCTGAAGCCAGCCTGGGCTGGGAGGAGAGGAATCTTCCCCTTCATTTTCACTGCCCAGCTCTGTTTGGGTTGCAGGACTGCCCTGCTGGTGCCTGCCAGTGGAATTGATCCTGGGGCTTGAGAATGACAGAGACAAGTGCTCCCAGAGTTGGGGTGTTTGAACTGATACTAAGGACTGGATCAGTATCTCCAGTGGCTGAAGTACTGCTTTGTTTCCCTGGAATAAAAGATAGCACAGTTCTGCTTCTGTGATAAATAGTTTTTTATTTATCTTGACATGGTTTAAAGCAGCACTTTCTCGTGGTGAATGCCATTCTTCTGGGTTTAAAAAAAACTCTCATCTGTTGCTTTATGTTATTACAAATTCAAAGGGCACTTTAGTACTGTCAGCATGAGATCATCATTGTCTAATAATATTAGATGTCTATTAATGTCAACAGAACCCTCTTCCTAATGCAGCCATTACCTTCCAATCATGCTGTAGCTTTCACTACAAAGCAATTATCTGAGTTGTGTGAATTGGCTAAAACCTATCAGCTATTAAAACTCAGAACGTTGCTTCTGCTTGGAAAGAAAGTCATGTTGCTTAAGTTCCCCCTCCCCTTCATCCATCTCTGAGAGCGGGAGCCTGTGTGAGGGAGAAAAGGAGCCTGGTGGTGCTTAATGGCTGATGAATAAAGCCAAGGATGCAGGAACAGTTGCCTGGCAACCTGGGAGGATGGGCTGAGGTCCCTTGTCACTGCACAGGAGTTGACACTGGCTCATCTCTTGAGCTCATGGAGACAGATTTATGAGGGTTTGCAGACTTTATCCTCTGCATGTATCGTGGCTGGGTTAGATTTGTATCTTATGTGTTTTGTCTCTGTGTATTTCATAGTTCTAAAAAGAAACACAAGAGGAATAGAAGCAAATCAGCCATTGTACCTGAAGGAAGAAAACGTGTGCTTCCTGTCCCATGCAGTTATTGTGCTTTCAAGATGAGAGCCATGTCTAGGAAGAGATTTGCCTAAAATTGAGAGCTCTTAGACTTAATTCCATATAATGTTCTGTTTTCTTAGTCTGAGAGCCTTCTGGAAATTATCATTAGTGCTAAAAGACAATGAGCTGGAATTTGTGTTATAATTGCAGCTCTGAGAAGAAGCCTTTTTGTGGTTAAACACAGCTCTGAAGTGACACATCTGCTTTGTTTCCCTTCTTACACAGAAATAAAGTCAGGCTGAGAACACACTGAGAACTCTGACAGACTTGACCTTGTACAAGTTGTTCTTAAACAATTCAAATGGATTTTGAACACAGGTGTCAGCACGAGGGGTGCATCTCTCTTTGTGCTGCAGTAGGGTTGTAGGTAGGTGATGTTTCCTTAGGGATGTGGTGTTAATTTGGTGTTCCCTTGAAGACTTTTGGGAAAGTACATGTACATTACCCCATGAATGTTGTTCTCATCAAGTGAATATTGATCCAGTAACTATTTTTCTTTTATATGGAAATAATTATTAAGGAAGAAGGTGCAACTGGCTTACAGAGGTTGCAGTGTATTTTGAACATTTCAAGAGACAGTAATTTTCTCTGCTCTTTTGTTTCTCAGAAACAACTTTGGTGCCTAATGATGAGGTCAAAGCTGTGGGAAACAGGTTGGGTTCTTAATTTGAGCTGTTGGACAAAAGATCTACCTGGCAATTTTGTGCCCATTTCTTACAGCAGGCAAAAGTGAGGTTAAAGTGTGTGTATATCTACAATTGTATTATCTTGGGGATCCTTAAACAAAAAAATCAAACACTTCTCTCTTACTTGTAAGAGCAGTTGTCATTTGCCAAATGCTTGCTTCCACTTTTTCTTGTTGAGTTCAAGCTTTTTGTTAATAGTTGTTCTTACAGCTGAAACTTTAGAGCATTTTGCCATGGTGTGAGACCTGACTAGCTGTCAAAAAACACTTTTTGCATGGAAATATATTGATAGAATTTGCAAAGAAATCCATTGAATTTACTGCAAGCTTTGTAATTATCAGACTTGGAATAATAGTCTGATTTTTATCAGTGTTTTCATCTAACTTTTTTTTTTTCTGCACGATTCATTCTCCCTCTCTGTCCCCAAGCAAACACACAGAGGCCAGACAGCAGCAGCAGCCAGCTGTGTGGAACTGCTTCCTTGTAACTGGAGATCCTCAGAAAATCAGGTGAAAGGTTTGAAAAGTTTCAGTTTGGATAGCCAAAGCCTTGAGGCCGTTGTCATTAACAAAAATGGTCTTTCTCCTTCTTTCTCTTGCAGGCTGCAGCTGTGACTTACTATTTATCTTTTTAATGGTTTATACTTGTATTACAAGCCCTGAGTTTGCTACAGGGTATTGAGAAATGTTTCGTAGCTCATGATGATTCATGGGAAAGTTTGGATAAATGCTCTGGACTGGTAACTTGGATTCTTTAGGGCAACCTTGGTCTGGGGCAAGATTGCTCTTTCTCATCATCTGCACGTGTAATTGTCTGTGGATAGAATTGTATTAACCTAAATTTAACCACTAGCATCGAGGGAGCTGCAACTGCACTGGTGTTACAGAAACTTTGGACCCAAAGCCTCGAAGCTGTGCTTTAATCTGCTGTATCAATGAAGGAAAATATTAAAACTATTACAATTTTAAGAGGAATCTGTGTTCATGTCAGAGGTGTCCAAATTGCTGTCTGCTTACTCCCCTATAGCAGATTTTAAGATGGCAAAATACCATGAAAATCCCTATAATTCAACCAAGAGAATAAGTAAGCTAATTTTTTTTTTTTTTTTAACTGTGGGCACTTTGTATTACTTTCCCTCTGTCTGTACCATGCATTTCTGTTGAAAAAAGCATGCTCAACTTCCGTAATGTTACCAGAAATGTTCTTTTATTTGCAATTCAAATGGAATAATTTTAAACTTTAAATCATTGTTGTCCAACTCTGTGGAATGTGAGTGGAGTATATTAAATGCTTTCAGCATTCTGTTGAAATGCATGCTGCTGTCTTAGGAAATTTCAGTATTCCTGATCTGTTAAAACATGGGTTCCATTGAAATGTTGGTTAAGGAAACTTACACTGTGATGCTTTAAATCAGACAGTTTTTACACTTTCAACTTACTTTTTCAAGGATTTTAATCTTCTTATACTGACCCATATTGTAGTAATTTCTGTTGGGCTGCTTCATTTCTTAGGGAACTGAAACACAGAAAGTAATCAAAATTTCAACCCAGAGCAGGCAAGAATTAAAATTTACCTTTTTTGTGTGTGAATTAAAATTTACCTTTTTTGTGTGTACCGTGAGCACTGTATGAAAGTGAGATTCTGATTTCTTAATTATGGAGACAAAATTAACTTCTCATCCTTCATTTTGGATTCGGTGCTTTTTGTGGTACATAATATCCTGTCCATTTGGGATATAGAAACAATTTATTGGTTAAAGCATATGATCTGACAGGAAAAAAAAGGGTCATGGCTGATGCATTTTACATCTAATTTCCTATGTTGCTTCTGTATTTTAAAAATCCATGTGAAAATATAGGAAGCAATTCAATAACTGCATACAAGTAAGTACCAAGCCAGCAGCTGTGTTTTCTAAGAGTACAGCACTACAACTGGAATTGGGAAATATAAAACTTTATTGTGGATTTGGGGAGAAATGGAAAACAGTGCTAATCTAAAAATAATTTGTCTTTTTTTTCCCCCTCTCTGTTGGGGAGCATAA